GCAACCTCTTGGAAGTATCCATCAATAACACGCGAAACCTCGGCCCGAGCTAAGCTTCAGGTCCTCAAGTGTGCAGAAACAGAAAAAATAACAGATACAAAGCCAATCTCTGGACTGTTCACAGTTAAATGACTATGTGGCCTCCCTGGGCTCTTTATTGACAAATCCCCATCGATCGATAAACATGCAAGACAAATAGACAAAAACTTCCGCACGGGTCTCGGGAGTGAAGCGACATGCTTTAACCTTCCAAGGTCTGCCCCGATCTGTTTGGATCTGCTTGGATCTGCTTGGCTCTGCCCGGCTCCACGGGCATGAATGATTGATTTTATGTATGTGGCTGCCTGGCATAAAGTCACTCAATAAAATTACAAAAAAATGCGACGTCGCCGGAGAACAAAGAGCGCTGGCAGATGCCCAGATTGATGGGCCCGTCTTACTGACCAACTGGCCAAGTGGCAGCGCTGCCAAGTCGAAGATGGGACACTCTGCTCGCTGATAAGGTCACTGGATTGTCTCGGGAGGCTTCGCGCACAGATTCCAGTTGCAGTTCCCCCACCAAGCGGCCGGGCCTCAGGGCTTAGGGTATAATGATAACATCACGCCGCGCAACGGAAGTATGTACGAGTATCTATTTTTGTGGCTCCGCCTGTCATCGCGCCGCTCGTTGTCGACAGCTGCCCGAAGCGCTTACAACAATGCGACTTCAATTAAAGCAGGCCCGGCAACCTTGAACTCTCGTTCAATCAGCGGCAGTGGACCGCTCAAATCAGCAAGGCCCCACGACATCCTTTCGGCCATATCCAGAAAAACCAGGCCCCACACAGAAAAAAAAAATTTCTATATATTCGTTGTGCTTAATAGAAGAAAAAAATCGTATTGCTTATATCATTCAACTAACAATGTTTGAACGCTGGAAATCATTATTGTCGAATATAATACTTGTGTAATGTAAAAACTAACATGAAATATGCGTATTTCAAACTGATAATACATTTCGGTAGAAAAAAACGAAAGACTGAGGCAACGAACTTCTTTGCTTTTCGGGCATCTACTTCTTATTTATTTTTTATTAATTATCTCTAATTGCTAGCTCTTTATAAATAAATAAATAAAAAATAAAAGAAAAATAGCGTATTGCTTATATAATTCAATGTACAATGTTTGAACGCTGCAAATCTTTATTGTCGAATATTCTACTTGTGTAATGTGAAAACTAACATGAAATATGCGTACTTCAAACTGATAATACATTTCGGTGGAAAAAAACGAAAGACTGAGGCAACGAACTTCTTTGCTTTTCGGGCATCTACTTCTTATTTATTTTTTATTAATTATCTCTAATTGCCCGACATTGTTAAAATCATACAAAAGACTAAGGAATCAAAGTTCTGCTCTCCTTTTCAAGCAATAATTTACTACTTTCCAATTACTCCTGAGTGCAAAGTAAATTCTTATGTATATAATAAGAGATTGTCTTGTCATAATATAAATGAACTTTCTTGAGCTAGGCCTCATTTTGTCAACTGGTTTATGACATGCGGTCTTCCATGTGAAATTGATCTAAATTTTTTTGTGTGCAAGAGAGACCGCGAAAGAGGCTGTCAATCTGAGTTTACTCCTCGCCTTCGACTCCATGGCAGCAATCATCAGAAACTGCTGGCCTCTGACTGCGCCCTTCCCCCCTTTCCCCCTCCCCCCGCTGAACCGGCCCTGCCCTTGCCCCGGAATCTTTTGGCCCGGCTCATTCCTTGGCGTCAACGCCGTTAGCTGTCGTTTAGTTTATTGTTGCAAATTGTTCAGTGAATTATGTGCCGAACTGCTTACTGCCGACGACCACACACACATGTGTCGATGAGTGTGTATATTCGAGGGCTTGGCAGGAAATTCGATATTATGGGTTTATTGGAAATGTCTTTCGGTTCCCCTTGCGGTTTTGGCTTACCCATTGGGAGACTTCTAATTTGGAGCAAATTATGAGTTATTGCCATAAAGGTTCTGTGGGACTTTTATTAACTAAGTTATTTAAGTTTATTCAAATGTACGAGTGCATTCCTATTACAGTCTAAAACACTGCAGATGAAAAGTACAATTTTTTGTTTACGCCCGAGTCATTGGCTTCTCGAACTACTCAGTCTTGTAAACAATCAAGAACCCCAGCAATAGATTGCATCTTACTTCAGAGGCAAGACAGCCAATAATTTGCCTCTCCTTAAGCTGTCAACTCGCCAGCCAAATCAAGTTCGTTGCCCAAGTCATTTGCTCTTCAATCAGCCGGAGCCGGAGCAATGGCACGAAAAGGGAAAAACTTTTGATTTTTCTCTTGCCTCATCGCCTTATGTAAATTTTTAGCCGCTGCCCACATGCAGCTCCAGTTTTTTCTTTCTGTGCCCTTAATCAAGCCGGAACCCTTGCTGTCGCTGCCTTTGGCTCACTTCACTCAGCCTGCTTCGAAGTCGAAGTCGAAGTCGAAGCCAAGTCGGAGTGGAAGTGGATGTGGAAGAGTTAGCGAGACAACTACACAACCCACACACATGTTTCTGGATCGGATCGGATTGGATCGGATCGGGTTTGGTTATGGGCTGAAGCTGAGCTGAAGCTGAGGTATAGCTTGGGTATGGTACGATAATGGCAGCGATTGCAGCTCTCAGCTCGGCTGATGTTTGCTCCTTTGCTTGTTAAGCTCTGAGCCTACTTTGATTCCGCTGTGTACTTTGTGTGTCTCCAGACATTTGTCTCTGGCTCTTAGGGTTTCTGCCTGCTGCTCGGCTGCCTGGCTGCCTGGCTGCCTAGTTTTCGTTCGCCGTTGATTTCTGTTGCCCCTCAAATGCACTTTCAATTGCAGACAGTTTGACGTATATATGTGTAGCCGGGCCAATGCACTATATCTCTCATTTATCTATCTATGTGCGAGCCTACCTATATTTCGTCTGTCGCCGGCTGCCTCACTTGCTGCCTTTCTTCAGCCGAGTCTGAGTCTGGGTCTGAGTCGGCATTGGAATTGGAATTGGAAGTGGAATAGGAATTGGAATTGGAATTGAAGTCGGAATCCGCGGCTCAGTCTGAGCTTAAGCTGCCCACAGGCACTTTGGCTTGTGGCTTGTGGGCCGTGGCCCCAACTCCCAATCGAACTCCCAATCCAACTCCAAATCCAACTCCAGATTCGGCTGCGACTGCGACTGCGGCTCTGGCCAAAGTTCCAGCTGCAGCTCGGCTTTTGTCCTGCCGAGTTGGCTTTCTTGCATGGCTCACACACCGAGTCGGATTTGGAGTCGTCGTCAAGTAGCTGCCATGTAAAACGCTTCCTACTTTTGCCTACCAGCGCATTGTTATAATTTGGTGAGCTATACACCGCCCGAAATGTCTGCCTTTATTTCACTTTATCAAATAAAGAAATTCAGCCGGTAATTTGTGTAATTCCCTCGCTTTCAATTACCTCAATTAATTTCGCAATTGCCCAGCGCTTTTCGCAGAGCATTTCAGCTTCGTTTTCCACTTGAATTAGCCCGAGTTTTCCTGTCCCATTTCCATTCGAAATGCTCTTTGCTGGCTGTAATCATACATTTGTGATGGATTTACTTTAATTAAATTACGTAAAGTGTTACATGGCGCAAGCACGCACATTTTGGAGTACCCCCGGTGGGGCCCTTCCTTCTCGCGAGTTTCCCCGTATCTTTCCACTTTGCCACACACATAAACCACTCGCTTGTGCTTTCATTAGAAAGCTGAAACAGTTTAAGCCTTTTACGGCTTCTTTTTGTTTAGAGAGAAGGAAAACAAAACTAATAACCTCATGAGATACAAATTCCATAAATATTGTTTTTTGTCAGCCAGTTCATAAATTGCCAAAAACTGCAAAGTCAGCTCTTATTGTTGGCTTTGTGAGATTCGGCTTTGACTCGTTTCACTTGCTCTTTGACAATGTGCCAAGCGATTTTCGTTTGGGGACAGGTCGTGACCACTTCCACACCGCCCGACAATGACATTTAACACCGCCTAATGGACAGATGTGAAATCCAAACAACACACTTTGGCGGTGCTGATGGCTTTATTTGCATCGCCAGAAATGATTTAAGCCGAAGCGGCGAAATCTAATCAAAGACCTAACCCGCGAACCTGGACGTTCTCACAACGAAAACGAAAGCTGGAAGGCAGATGGATGGATCGCCGAGTGTGAGCTCTTTTTACACTTGGCTTACACTTACACGACGACGGCGGCGTCGGGAAAATTAATATACCAAACAATTACACGGCCCGGCAAAACAATTTTAAGCCCAGTTAATGCCGACGCACAGTGGTCGGGAGCTACGCAGATTCGACGCGAAAAATTGTGCGCCATTGCAGGGGCCAAGAAATGAAAGCGCGCAAATTTGCATTCAAGCAAATAAAGCGGAGCAAAAGGAAAATTGCCATAGACACTAATTGGAAAAGAAATGCACAAGCAGTGGAAATGAAAATAATGACAGGGCGTGGATCGGGAAAACGTATAATTATTTTTTGACATTGGCAACGAAAGCAAAAGTGTTGAGGCAGAATAACTTTATGGCTTGGGGTGCTCAAGCAATAGTTCTTTTTACTTTCACACTTTTACAAACAAAATAGGTTACAGAACTAAATTAACTATTTCGATAATTACCCATTCGAATAGGAACAATTTGGCCCACTGTACCCTGCTACCGTCTGCTGGAGCTTGCAGTCTTTGAAAGTTAAGACTTTTGCTTTTCTGCTCCCCGACTTTGTTTTTGCTTTCAGAAAGAGCGGACAAATGGATAAACAAAAGTTCAAGAGGTTGCAGCCCCACCCCCTTGGCGCACATGGGGCAAGAAAAGAAAGTTATTACAAAACGAACGGAGGCTGACAGCTGACAAGATCGGAAGGAGGAAGGAGGAGGTCGAAGTGGAACCGATTCCAGCCGGAGCTGGGTCCGACTGCCCCGGGCAGAAATTGTGACAAATTCAGTGATCTGATTCTGTTCAGATGTACAAAGGAGCGGGACTTACCACCTCCGTTGTTGGCGCTGGAGCAGTGCTTCGAGCTGAGCCCCTGGCCCGTGTTGGAGGCCGAGTTGGGCAGGCCGCAGCCGCTCATCACGCCGTACTTGATGGGCTTGAAGTGGAAGAAGGAGGGCGAGTAGCCGGAGCCGGCGCGGCTCAGCGAGCTGAACTGCTCCTCGCGGTCCTCCACGTAGAGGCCCTCCTTGCCCATGGCGGCCAGCTGGCGGCCCTTGGGCATGAACATCACCAGGAAGACGGTGGCGGAGGTGGCCACCAGCCCGAAGGCCACGCAGGCGTCCTTGTGCCGCTCGGCCACCGCCAGCCCGCAGAGCATCCAGCCGAGCCAGATGGGGATGGCGCCCCCGATGGCTAGCCCGATGTAGGTGGCCTCGCGGTAGTTGTCCCGGATGCCCCGCGACTTGATGGCCAGCACGGCGATGAAGACGATCAGGAAGACGATGTAGATGAGCGAGAAGAGCAGCTCCGAGAACTGCGTTTTGCAGAGCGGGATCAGCACGGTGCTGACCGCCGCTATCCGGGTGTAGATCTCCGGAGTTCCGTCCAAGGTGGTGTACGAGGTGGGGTAGAACAGCGCCGAGTAGTTGGTCTGCGAGGCCACCGTGGAGCCGAGGAAGCCGCTGCCCATCACCGGCACGCTGGTGGTGTACACCTCCGGCGGCTGGGTGAGCAGCCACTGGCCCCCGATGGCCACCTGGATGAGCAGCGCGAACAGCAGCAGCAGGCCCTGGTAGGGCGCCGGCAGGTAGACGCCTCCGTTCAGGCTGATCAGGAAGACGCACTTGACGAGCAGCGCGGCGAAGACGAGGGCGTACGCCACGCCCACCCCGAAGCGGATCGCCCCGCAGCTGAGGAGCGTGGGCTGGGCGGTGATGATGGCGCCCAGGCTGGCGCAGGCGAAGAGCCCCAGGAGGAGCATCTGGCCGAGGAAGAGGTGCCGGCGCGAGGGCGAGGTGCGCCAGGCCTTGAAGAGCACGAAGATCTCGAAGGCGGCCATCATGAGCATGGTGAGGGTGGCCAGCACGAGCACCGGCACCACCCACGGCTCCTTGCGCAGCCCTGCGAAGGGCAGGTGGGTGGACACTATGCTGGGCGGCGTGCTGTTGCTGCTCCCTCCCGGAGCCACCCGCCCGGTGGTGCCCGCTGCCCGCGCCTTAGCCCCCAGACTGCGGCGGGGCGTGGCCGGCGTGGTGGTGGAGGTGGTGCTGCTGGAGCTGCTGGCGGAGAGAGTGGGCACCACGAAGAACTCCGTTGACATTTCCAGGCGGGCCGCACTCGAGACATTGCCGCTCGGGAAGAGGAGATCCAACTGCTTGGCCGAGCGCTGCGAGTGGGGCGCTGCCGGAGTGGTGGTGCTGGTGGTGGTGGTGGTGGTGGAGCTGGTTGTGGTACTCGTACTTGTACTGTTGGCATTCCGGCTGCCCGGCTTGAGCACCTGGTAGGCGTTGCGGTCCGACTCCTGGCTGGTGACCAGGCGCACCCGCCGCCAAATGTTGTTTCCGTTCACGCTGAGGCTGCGCGACGCCGGCGTGGTGGCGATCAGCTGCAGGACCAGCAGCAGGATCAGCAGCAGGTGGCGTCTGCCGGCCATTGGAAGTGGTGACCCCGAAAGCCTGGACCTCTGACCGATCAGACGCGGCGCATCTCCGCGAACGCACTCTATCCCGCACTCGCGATCGCGGTATTTCAGCTCGCAATTCTTCAGTCTTCGCAGTCTGGCACTCGATCTCGGTTCTGCGGTCTACGGTCTACGGTCTTCGGTCTTCGGTCTACTTGCTCTCGATTCTCGCGCTAACACGTCCGCTCGCTCCGATCGACCAACTGCGACTGACTGGCGGCTCTGCAAGTCCGGCTTTGGCCCGGCTTTGTCGTTTGAGACCAGTTTGACGGCGGCCCAGTCGAACTAACACTTGTTCGAGTTCGACGTGCGTTTGCTAACTCGGCCGAAAGCAGAGCGGCCAACAGCGCACCGCGATAGCGGTAAAGTGTGGGAAGGAGTTGCCCACAAATCGGGAGTTATAGGCATGAAATATGTGCCCAACTATTTTTATTTCCAGTTTTGAAATAAAGTATTCAATTAACCTTATCTTTTCACATCAAATCATACGACTTGTGTATATTTGTGAACAAAAATGTTTATTATAGCTTTTAAAGCTGATTTAAAGCAATCTGTCAGGATAAAAGAAAACTGTATAAATTAGAAATTGGTTGAAATCAAAAGAGGGATTTATGCCATTGTTTTTTTCAAAACATACCCCTGGCATTAAATAAAATTTAACGATTGATAATTTATTAAATTGATAAATAAATTGTAACATGTAATAGGCCCAACCATTCTGCTCCACCAACGGTTTCAACCTTCTGCAAACGCGATCCACACTCCCAAGATAGGTTCCACAGTCGAACCGCTTTGCAGAACACTTTCATTCGTTCTGCATATGCGGGAATATCAGCTTACGGCCTCCGCTGCTCGACTTGGCCGGCAGGAAAGTGCTAAAAGCTATTAGCCAACCGCTTTTGCGGTATCCACTCTCCTCGAAAACGGCCAACAATAGGCGAAATAGCTCGGTCCGCGCACAAAAGGCGATTGTAAATCAAAAGAGCGCTAATGATATATCGATATACAAAGTGTTGAGGTGGGAAAGGCAACGCCAAAAGCGTTGGAAACGGCCATAGGAACTCGGCAGCGGCAGTGGCAGCGTTCCGATTCCTTAAGTATTATTGTGCTCGGCGCGCGCTTTCAGCAAACCACAGTTAGAATAAAGCCCTGCTCAGATCACCTGAATGAGTGGGCAAAAATGATACTGAATATAAAGAGTGTGTTGCATAAGAACGACTTTCTGGTGGCCATATATCTTCAGGAATACATATTAGTACTTTACGTAGTAAATTAAATATAATAAAATTGCAATTATTAAATAATATACATTTAGGAAATGTAGTTCAGAATGTATTAATTAAACGTTTTTGTTATATTCAACAAACACTCGATGTTATGCTGACATTCGATTTAAAAGAATATATCACGTTCGGTAATTCAATGCCAAAATGCGCTTTTGAAACCTGTACAAAGAATGTTTGTGAACATGCTATAAGGCAGGTTAAAATAATGTTTTGGTTCGAGACTCAGCAAAAACACTCCTGAGCTAATACCTCAAGTCGAATGTAATCGGTACTCAGGGCCAAGAGAACCTTATTGGCCGCTGGACGCTCCGCATTCATCTCCATATTTGGCGCGGCTCGCAATGCGCAGCCATTAGCCGCAACAAATGTTATGTAGATCGTGTCGGCGGCAACCGATCCCCTCCCCTTCTGGGACCGGGTTAACTTCCCACCGCCCGACTTACGGTATCGTTAGTGACGATCTGCGAGGGTCCGGCCGGCCGACACTCTGCGTTCGGCGTTCTGTATTGACATGGAGGCGGGTAAATAACCTTTCGGCATGCCCGAAAAGTGAGTCGGAAAAGAGATTTCGCGCAAATGAGCGCGTAGTCAAATTGTGATCGCCATAACCGAGCATAACTCAGCTCCGGCTTCTGCTTCTGCTGCGATCGCGATCTCGATCTCGAGCGGTACGCACATACGTATGTATCGGCTTCGCTGTACCTGTTCGCTTGTAGATCTAATCTGAGCGGCACATTCGGGCGGACTTCTTAATACGAATCGAGCGGGGACGGTGATGCAGCGTAATTTATGAACTTTTCAATTAGAACTTGTCTCCGGGAAATTAAACTCTCCGCCGCTGTGCCTAATCCCCGTTTTAGCTAAGCCGGCGATTATTCGGTGGCTTTCGTCGGCCACTCCCCACGATCCGTTTAATTAAAGCTGTCACTTGCCTGTTGGCCTTGCCGATCTGCCCGTTGGCCGCGGTAACAGTGCTTTATGTAATCCTGCGGGCTTAGCGAAATCTTTGCTAATTAAAAGGCATTCTAATATTACGTTTGCCTTTCTCCCGACCACCGGATCGGGTTTCACGACATGCCCGAGACACATTGCGTTAGTAACCCCTGACTGAACACAAGATCAAGGCAGCCCTGTGGCTCGTGCGCAGGCCAAAAGTCAACTGGCTCACACCCTGGCCAAAAAGTTGCTTCATCTGCCATAGCCTACTTACGATTATGATCCTGAGAAATTAGGTCTCGGCAGTGAAAGAGTTCTTTCATTTCAGCAAAAGTTTAAGTAACTCTTTCTTTATTTTTCGCTAAGTAAAGTAGCTACAAATTGTAGAATAACATTCAGAATAAAACGAAGCTTTTGTGACACCTTCTTTTAATCTATAGTAAAGCAAATGCTTTAAAACCATAACCATATCAACGATTTCCTTTGGCTGTAGAGCTCTCATTACTGGGCCTGTGTATCAACTTTCTTTATGGTTAAAAATTATTCAAATTCGGCTGCTTGCTTTTTCGATGGACCTAGAATATTTTCACGATTTCGCAAGTAGAACTGAACTTAGCCGGCTTTAACCTCATGGCTTAGATGGGCTGATTTTACTGTTGCTGAATAGAACGGCGGCGCCAATGTTCCGAATCCTGGCCGAAGTTGATTGATTCCGGGTGATTTGAATGTCTGGCCCGAGATCGGGACCCCAAACCTCGGACCTGAAGCCTGGAACCTGGACTCGGATTAGAAGCGCCGACCGTTGGCTGGCCAGAGAAATGTGTCAGGGAATCGAGTTGGACCGTTGCTCGCGGCTCTCCTTTTAAGCGCCTTAATTTATTTGCCACAAGACAAGCCGGCGCCGTCTGGGTCAAGTGTCAAACCGCCGACGATTTGCGAATGTTTCCGATCGTAACTCTATGTCGGTCATTAATTTTCGGGCGTTTCGATCGTCGAATTTTGTGGATCGGGGAAAGATGCCGCGCGTAAATCTCCGGATTGCATTTTCAAATTTAAATTGAAACCAGTTGGTCAAGTGCGTTGAACCTACTACACAACCATCGGAATGAGCAGGGCTCGGAAACCAAATATTCAGAGACAAAAGCCTCTTGGCGATCTTATTTATTTATCAATATGTAGTGCGGTATCCCTCTTACCTTGCCCCTCTCGTTGGTCGAGTTCATTGTCGTCCCCAAAAGAGCGAATTCTGATTTATAAGCGGGCTCTTCCCCGGCCCCTCGCCCCTTTCCCTTTCCCTGTTCCTGCCCCTCTCCATTCCATTCCAAAGCCCCTCCCTTCGCGACGGGGCTGCGCTTTAATCACGTGCGTGCAATGCGCACATGATGATGCTCCCCAATCCGAGTCCCCCATGCATGCGTCCTCGACACCCCCTGTACACCCCGATCCCAACAGCGATCCCGATTCCGATCCCGATCCCGACCCCTCCGATGCTCTTGACGATGCTGGGATGCCGCCCTGGCTTTTGCTGTTGCTCTCGCTGTTGCTGTTGCTGTTGCTGTTGCTGGTGTTGCAAATGCTGCCAGGCCAAACACCCAGTGAACATTGCTCAGCAGAGGAGCTCGCTCTCTTACAACTGACACCGATGTGCACTTGACTAGATGCTCGGGTATTTTAGTCAATAATCAAACATAAAAAAATAAGGATCTTTTAAGCTAAAATACTTTTTCTTTTGCTATGCATACTATGATTTTATTATTTGTGATTAGGTTGGCGCAATTAATATTTAGTAGACTTTCAGAAAGGGAATTTAAATTTTTTTAACTAACAAAAAATAGGTTTCTATTATTCGGAATTACATTTTTAAGATGTACACAGTCGAAACAATAATATGCTAAAAACTGATTTCCAACTGCAATAACAGCTTTCACTTATATGGTTACTTAATTTTGTCAAACACTTTTAAGTAACAAATGCTAGAGTACTAAATTTGACCTTGTTGATTCCAGATTTTCTCACAAATTAATAAATAAATTAATTCAAACAAACGCACAACTTTTACTTCAGTACATATATGTAGTTTATCGACCTATTACTCGTGTGTGATCTCTTGTGAAAACCTAACGCGCTGCCCTCCGCTGTGCTCCCCTCTTGAGCTCAGGTCCATTATGCAGAATGCATATAAATGTAAGTGCAAGTATCGGAGTTAGTGGCAGAGTGCTGCTTTGGCCGTGTGGCACTGCCGTTGTGTGTGAGCGCGCATGCGTGAAGCGTCCGTTTTAATCGTTGCCTGGCCATCGAATATTTCTTCGGCCACGACGCTCCGACGGCGATGACGACGTGGAGAGTTGCTCGTAAATCCGGCGTATAAAAGGCACATAGCTCGCCCCATCGGTCAGGAGCGGGGAATCAGGGAGTCCATTGTGCTGTGGGGTGTGGTGGGGTCAGCGCGATCGCGAACTTGGGCTGGGCAAGAAAGGCACAGAGGCTTTGGATGGTGGATGGTGGCTAGCTCGGCTCCAAGAGTGGGCACCGCGGTCGTCTGCCTGACCAAAGGCTGATTTACTATGATCCGCTTGAGTTTTATGTGCAGAAAGATAAAATTTTTAAGATATTGACACCTTGTTAGGCGTTTGAGAGACAGCCGGTGCCGGGCGATCGCCGAGGGCCCGCAATAAGGAAAAGAACTCTTCTTGGCCATAATCTCCATGGGGAACGCCCCCCGATCGCGCCTTCCCTGAATTCCCATTCGCCCTTTTGCGTGGCTAATTGTGGTTAAAATTAAATGCATTTCCCGTCGTCAAATGCATAAGCCTGGGCCAGATTACCAGGACGTCAGGCGTTTCGGGCCAACTCAAAGTGCTCCCCAGCTCTCCAGCTGAACAGCTCTTTTGTTTTGTGTGTGGGTGTCAAAGGCGGGCTTTGTTAAATTTATGGAATAATACATATCTTTATGGCTTCATTAGCGAGTACCCTCTCCG